TGGGTACTACCAATTAACTCATTCCGTTCAAGGTGCTCACAGACAGAGTGTTTAATAATCTGCTCTAGAATTTTCCCAGGTATTGATGTCAAGCTGACAGGCCTGTAATTTCCTGGGTCTGTCTTTTTCCTCTTCTTGAAGATTGGGACAACATCACAACATCACTTCACAGTAAGACCCAATCACTGTCAGTACTGGGTCTTTCCCTTCAGACTTTTGACAGCGCCAAGGGTTTTTACGAAATGCATGGCACTGGTGGCCGCAGCTCTACGACAGCAATCCATCACAGTCTTCCTGTACATTGACAATTGGTTGCTAGTCGCCCCTTCTCCTTCACAGCTTCAAGACAACATCACAATCACCTTGTGTCTCCTGGCCGGCCTAGGCCTTTCAGTGAAACTTGCCAAGTCTTACCTACAACCGACCCAAACCTTGTCATTCATCGTGGTCGAGCTTGACACTGGCAATGTGCCTACTTAACCCCGGACAGGGCAGTCACCCTACAGTCTCTGATTTGAGCCTTTCCTTCCCTACCCAGATGACGGAATCCCTTCAACACCTCCAGGGATTTATGGCAGCAACAACCTTCATAGTTCCTTATGCGTGTCTTCATATGTGCCCTCTTCAGCTGTGGTTCCTGTGCCACTTTCGTCTACAGATCAACCCACAATCCACGGCGTTGACAACTCCTGTCATTCCCAACTCCCTGCACTGGTGGCTGGATGACAACAATCTGCTGACAGGGAAGCCATTTCAGTTGCCACCTCCTGAGATGGATCCTTTGCTCTAGAGTTGGGGAGCCCACTGCGATTCCCTTGTCGCACAGGGCGCTTGTTAAGATTCTGACTGGAACCTGCACATCAACTGCCTAGAGCTTCTGGCTGTTCACCTGGTCTTGAAGTCTTTCCTGCTCACTTTGCGTGGCCATTTGAAGCTCAACATCAAAAAAACTAAGATCATGGCATCGGGCCCCATCACTCCTTGGCAAATAGAAGGGGAAGTCGTGGAAGTAGTGACGGACTTCACGTTCCTGGGGAGGAAAGCGATGGCGAACCTAGACAGCATGATAAAAAGTAGAGACATCACCCTGCCAACAAAAGTCTGCATGGTCAAAGCAATGGTATTCCCAGTAGTCATGTATGGCTGCGAGAGCTGGACTATAAGGAAGGCCGAGCCCCAAAGAATAGATTCTTTTGAACTATGGTGCTGGAGAAGACTCTTGAGAGTCCCTTGGACTGCAAGAAGATCCAATCAGTCAATCCTCAAAGAAATCAACCCTGACTGTTCCCTGGAAGGCCAGATAATGAAACTGAAGCTCAAATACTTTGGCCACCCAATGAGAAGGGAGCACTCCCTGGAGAAAACCCTGATGCTGGGAAAGATTGAAGGTCAAAGAAGACGGGGACGGCAAAGGATGAGATGGTTGGACAGTGTCATCGATGCAACGAACATGAAACTGAGCAAACTTCAGAGGACAGCGGAAGACAGGAGAGCCTGGCGGGATCTAGTCCATGGGGTCGCGAAGAGTCGGGCTCGACTGTGCGACTGAACAACAAAAATGTACAGGTGGCCACAGACAACATTGCCACTGTTCATTACATAAACAAGCAGGGTGGCACGGTCTCTGTCAACCTCTGCAAGCACGCCCTGGCCTTGTGGAACTGGTGTCTTCTTCACGGGACCCATCTGACTGCAGTGAACGTTCCAGGCATCATGAATACTCAGGCAGATTTTCTCAGCCGATCCTGGTCAAGCAACCACAAGTGGTCTCTGAATCCTGCTTATCTGGCTCTGATTTTCGAGGCATTCAGTCGTCCCCAAGTGGATGCCTTTGCTACCAGAGACAATGCAAAGTGCCCCATCTTTTACAGCCAGGGCCTCCCGATGCAGGGTTCCAGGGGAGATGCCTTTTTTACACAAATGGACCAGGAGGCTCTTCTTCATGTTTTCTCCATTCCCATTAATACCTTGAGCGCTCCAGAAAATCTCCACCAATCATACCGACTGCATTCTGGTGACTCCCTGGTGGGTCTTGTTAACCATGGTTTGTGATGCTTCTGCATCTTTCTCACAACACTTTCATTCATTTCCCGTTGGTATCTGAACTTCTGATGCAGTGCCACGGGGAGGTACTCCAGCACAATCCAGCTTGACTGCCTGGAGAATAATTCACTGGATCTCCCACTGTGTGTACGCCATGTCCTCCTGAACGCCCATAAGCTGACTACCAGATGGTCATTAACAGGCTAAATGGAAGCGTTTTTCAGTCCATGCCGCCCGTCATCATCTGAACCCTAAGTCTGCACCTCTCTCCCACATTCTCTCTTACCTGGTTTCCCTTAGTGATTCGGGCTTATGTTACTCCTAGTTAAAGGTCCACCTTTTGGCCATTTCTGTGTTCTATGACCTCGTTGACCGTATGATGGTTTTCTCCCACCATACATCCAAGTCTTTTTTGAAGGGCATCTTTCAGCTTCATCCTCCCGTTAAACTCTTGATGCCATCCTGGAGTCTTCCCTTAGTGCTCTCCAAGTTGATGGGGAAGCCCTCTGAACCATTGGGAACTGTGCCTCTTCACCTCTTATCCTGGAAAATAGCTTTCCTTGTTGCAATCATGTCTGCCCAACAAGCAAGTGACATTTGTGTGTTTCGCTCTGATCTGCCTTACACCATTTTTCACAAGGATAAGGTAGTGCTTCAGATGGATCCTACTTTTTTGCCTAAAGTAGTCTTGTCGATCTTCGTCGTGGTCTCTGTGCATTCACACCAATGGGAGTCAGTGCGCATGCGCTGGATCGATCCAGTGCGTGTGCACTGAATCCCATTGGTGTGAATGCACAGATGACCACTCGAAGATCACCAGTTACTGGTAAGCAACCTGCTTATCTTCGATGTGGTCTCTCTGCTTCACACCAATGGGATTCAGTGCGTACCCGCTGGATCGATCCAGCGCGTGTGCACTGAATCCCATTGGTGTGAATGCACAGATGACCACTCGAAGATCACCAGTTACTGGTAAGCAACCTGCTTTTCCACCTTTCGCAAGCCCCTTCCTTTCCACCTCTACCAACCTTCTGTGCTAATCTTTCTGACGATGGTCAGCAGGTCCTTCCGATCTTGCACGTTTGTCAGGCACTCTCTTTCTACTTGGGTAGGACTTGCCCATTATGCAAAGATCCTCAGCTGTTTTTGGCCTATGGCGCCCCCTGCAAGGGCCACAAGATTATTGCGTAACAATTTGTGAAATGGGTGACTTCGAACATTGCGCTTTGCTATGAGTTGGCCAAAGAGCCCTTACCCAAGGTGGTTCAGGTACATTCCACCAAGGCTATGGCTGCATCTTCGGCTTTCCTCAACAGTGTGCCTTTGGAAGACATCTGTGCTGCAGCGACCTGGTCTACCTCCTCCACTTTTGTGACACACTATGTGCTAGATGTCCGGGCTCGGAGGGATGCGTTCTTTGGCTTTTCAGTGTTGAAGTCGATTTTCCATTGAGGCCCCAATCGGGGGTGCGTCAGGTGAGCCAGTACAGATAACTGTGTTAACATGTACCTTTAATGTTGTTTTTATTTGTTGGTTTTCATTTTTGGCTGCCAGCATCCTCCTTCCACGGATTTCAGCTTGCTAATCACCCATGCGTGGGACTACACAGGGACCATGAAGAAGATAAACAGGTTGCTTACCTGTAACTGATGATCTTTGAGTGGTCACCTGTGCAGTCACGCACGCCCATCCAGCCTTCCCCACTTCTGGCTTTTCCATCTACTTGCCTCTGGATGGCCTTGCTAGTGGCGGTTGGAAGAAACTGAGCGGAGGCGGGGCTTTCTCCTCAGCTCCAGGCATGCTCAGTAGCAGCCTCCTCCCCAGAGCAGAGGGAAAAAGCCCGCCAAAAAGTCTGAAGCTAGCTCTTTTAGATTTCTGAAGTCGGGTTCATGGGCTGGCCCAAAACCCATAAGAACATAAGAGACGCCAATGTTGGATCAGGCCAAAGGCCCATCCAGTCCAACACTCTGTGTCACACAGTGGCCAGAAATACCAGTGCCATCAGGAGGTCCATCAGTGGGGCCAGGACATTAGAAGCCCTCCCACTGTTGACCCCCCCCAAGCACCAAGAAGGCAGAGCATCCCTTGCCCCAGAGCCCCTAGCTATACCTTGTGGCTAACAGCCACTGATGGACCTCTGCTCCATATGCTTATCTAATTCCCTTTTGAAGCCGTCCATGCTTGTAGCACCCACCACTTCCTGTGGCAGTGAATTCCATGTGTGAATCACTCTTTGGGTGAAGAAGTACTTCCTTTTATCCGTTCTAACCCGACCGCTCTGCAGTTTCATGGAGTGCCCACGAGTTCTTGTATTGTGAGAAAGGGGAGAAAAGTACCTCTTTCTCTACCTGCTCTTTCCCATGCATAATCTTATAAACCTCGATCACGTCACCCCCTCAGTCGTCGTTTCTCCAAGCTAAAGAGCCCTAAGCGCTTTAACCTTTCCTCATAGGGAAAGTGTGTGACTGCACATGTGACCACTCAAAGATCATCAGTTACAGGTAAGCAACCTGTATTTTTGGCAACTGCAAGCTGGTAGTTGGGCATTCCATCATGATGGGGTGTTTGCAGGGGTCTTGTTGTAGAAAAAGAGCTGCCGGAGCTCATTAGCATAACTCATTAGCATAACTTATTTGCATATGCCACGCCCCCTGACATCACCGGAAGTGACAGAAGGCCACACCCCCTGACATCACCGGAAGTGTGTCAGAAGGCCCGGCTACTTACCCTCCTGCTTCATCCTCATTCCCAAACGGAATGAGGATCGAAGCAGAGGGCGGGGTAAAGAAGGGGGCGGGGCTTCACCACGTGACCGCCCCGCCCCCTAGAGGTTCTCTTCCGGAGCGCCGTACCTGAGAGCTCCCCCCCGACTAGAGCCCTGGGTGTTTGGGACTCTTTAATTGCAATCAGTCTTACTATTCCTTGTGATGCTTGCAACATTTGCTTAAAAAAATTACCTGGAGTTGCCACTAAGTTCTGCAGCTCTTTCTTCAGACTCATGATGTCCTTGCACAACTGAATGTCGTCCATCCTACAGAAACAGGAAGAAAAAACTGGACTGTAATACGTGTTCCCTCTAAGCTGTGGAGTCTTGTGAGCAAAAATTCTACTTTATGAGCTACTGGCACTAAAGTTGTGAGCAAGCGATTTGGCTACTGCATAAATCAGTTTGCTCTGGAGCCATCTTTCCTGAGCTAAGAAAAAAATGTGTGAGCTGGAGGCTAAAAAACTGTGAGCATGCTCACACTAACTCAGCTTAGAGGGAACACTGACTGTAATATGTGTTCATTAAGTTTTTCAACAATTGATTCATGAGATCCAGTTATCTACTGCCGCGAACTCTTTTTATTTTGAGTTCCACTTGGCTGCAAGGAAGACCTTTTCCTGGGATTTCCTTCCAGGGAGCTTTCCAGGGAGGCTGCAAAGTATATTAATCATAAAATGCTCAAAACCCAACAACAATATGCTCTCTACTTAATTTTTGAAAAGTAATAAATATTCTAACATAAAACATTATTTTAAAAAACATACTAGGTTGGACCCTTGCAGGTCTTTTCAAGAATAATCTCTGGCATTGGGTGAAAACACTCTATACCGGAAGAGGTACCACCATTGCAGGAAGAGATCCTTGGAATCCAGTGCATTCTTTCCTGCTTACAGAAGCTTTGGCAGTCAGGTTAAATGCAGCTTAGGGGATGGAAATGAAGAAATATGTATTCGAACATGCCCTTCAGCTCTTTTCCCACATGGTGAAGATATATTAGTCAACCCGCTTGGACTTTTTGCCCCAGCCAGCAAGCTGTAGTAGCTGAAAGGAGCTGGAGCAGTTTCAGAGTCTCACTTGGGTCAACTGATGGCTATCTTAGGACTCCTCCTTTTTAATTTACTGTCTCCTTTCAGCTGAAAAACAACAAATTTTCCAGACCTGAACCTTGCTGAGAGGCAAGACCTACAATCAGTAGATGTGTCCTGATCTTCAGAATGAGCAGCACATTGAAATTACATGTGCTGACCGAGGAGATACAGTGATGGGAGGTTTCTGTGTGTTTACCTCACAAGCGAGTATAAAATTCTAATTTATTTACTTCATTTATACACCACTTTTCTCCCCAGTGGGCACAAAGTAGGTTATCATTCTCCTTTCCTTCTCCATTTTATCCTCACAGCAGCCCTGTGACTGAATCAAGGTCACCCAGTAATCTTCCATGGTAGAGGGCAGATTTGAAACCAGGTCTCTAGTAACTAGAAGAGAAGAAGAAGAGATTGGGTTTATACCCCACCCTTCACTCGGAGTCTCAGATTGGCTTACAAACTCCTTTCCCTTCCCCTCCCCACAACAGACACCCCGTGAGGTGGGTGGGGCTGAGAGAACTCTGACAGAAACTGCTCTTTTTCAAGGACAGCTGTGCCAGAGCTTATGACTGACCCAAGGTCACATCAGCAGGTGCAAGTGGAGGAGTGGGGAATCAAACCTGGTTCTCCCAGATTAGAGTCCGCACACTTAACCACTACACCAAACTGGCTACTATGAAACATTCTCAAAAATCTGTTTTCTGAATGGGTGATGGGTCTGTGTTATGAATAACAACATTCAAACAAAACACTGTTTGAAAAAAGCTGAAGTATCAGAAAATTCACAATCAGAATATTACCGTAATATTCTTTTTGCACAAAAATACGTTTGTAGGGCACCTGGTAGAGCAATCTTGCTGTTAAGTCGCTCGCTTAACAAAGCAGTCGGAGAGTGATTCAGCAAGAACACAACTTTATTCTTCAACTCGAACACAACTCCAACACGCATCAACATCTGATAGCCTCCAGATTGCAGCTGTCCTGCTTTTAAACATTCCTGGCTAATGTAGCCACACCCACTGTACAAATATCAACCTATGAGGTTGCAGAGATAAGGTCCAATCATATTAGTTCCCGCTCAGGGAGCTTGCTTGAAGTGATTGGCTTGTTACTTCCTGGGCTAGCAATACTATTGGATGGATTTGGATCCTAGCCCAGGACGAAGCTTAACATTACAGTTCAGTTAGATGTTTCACAACATGTCATGCATTCAAGGCAGCTTTGAATACACTCCACTTGCTGAAGCTATGCAGGGGCTGGCCAGTGCCTGAGCACTGAGGCTTCTTCCGAGTTCTGCATATGCCACTTAGAGTTCCATGACGAAAGAAAGATTGGATACCAAAGATGGGAGACCAAGCCCTATGAGGAAAGGCTGAGGGACTTGGGAATGTTCACTCTGGAGAAGAGGAGGTTGAAGAGGGACATGATTACTCACTTGAAGTATTTGAAGGGCTGTCACTTAGAGGAGGGCAGGGAGCTGTTCTCGTTGGCCGCGGGGAAGAGGACTCACCAGGCCTCATTTCCTGCAGGAGCGCACCGGAGCTTCACTCCGGCAGTAATGAGGCCAGGGGGCAGGCACATGCAGCAAGCCCCGCCCCCTGCTCCCAGCAGCCCCCCCTTTCCCGCCTGCTGACTGACACAGCGGAGCGCTACTGCGAGCTCAGCCTCCTGCACCTCTTGTGCCTCATCGGTCTGCGAGCACCTCCTGTGAAGCCTGCAAGGAGCTCCGCCTTGGCCTCCTCCTGCGCCTCTCCCCCTGCTGGGAGGAGGAGGACAGGGAGGCGTCAAGGGCGGCAGGCGCGCCAAGCCTCTTTGCGCGTGGGCGGCCATGTGCTGGTGCAGCCACCACGGAGTGACAAAGCCCAGCCAGGAGTCACCGCTGCCTGCAGGAGGAGCCATTGGATGGCCGCGGCTGGGTCAGGTGAGTGAGCGAGGGGGGCGTTGAGGGGCTCCGCTTCTGTGACGGCCTGGGGGGAGGAGGGGGGCAGGGGCGCCTCATCAGCCAAAGCCCTTTGCACATCGCCTGGCTGGCTCCCCTCGGAGCGAGGCTCTTCCTCCTCGACTGCGGCTCTCGGCTGATGGCCACACGCCCCCTCCCTCCTGCCTGAGCCTGGGGTCTCCCTCCTGCCTTCCCCCACCTGCTGCTGCTGGGGGCCCCCCACATCTTGCTGCCGGCCTGGGGCGCCCCCGCATCTTGGCACCCGCCACCCCCCCAGGCCACTAGGGCTGGCTGCAGGGGCTTGGCTGCTTTGAGTTGGCCGCCCTGGCAGGGAGGGGGGCTGCAAGGTGCCCTGCACACAAAAGCCCTGCCTAAAACGGCAAGGATAAACGAGGGCGGGAGTGCCCTTCCTTAGATCTCATCCTCCCCCATCCTGAAAACAGTCATTTGAAAATCCCTCAAAGCCTCTGAGGGGAAGAGAAAGGGGCCACATCTCCAGGGATGTCCCAAGAAGGAGGTGGCAACCAATGTTCCCTCAAAGCTATGGAGTCTTGTGAGCAAAAGTTCTACTTTGTGAGCTACTGGCAATAAAGTTGTGAGCGAGAGATTTGGCTCCTGCATAAATTAGTTTGCTCTGGAGCCATCCTTCCTGAGCTGAGAGAAAAATCTCTGAGCTGGAGGATAAAAAACTGAGCTAGCTCACACTAACTCAGCTTAGAGGGAACACTGGTGGCAACCCTCTCTGACAGGGCAGGTCCCAATAGGAAACCCCCACCACCACCAGGCAGGGAGAGGGAGCGGGCTTGCTGGCAGACCGGTTTGCAGAAGCAGGGAAGGGGGGACGGGAACAGACATTTTCCGTGCAGTCCTAAAACGGCTTGAAGCCCCATCGAACAGGAGGCTTGTGTGTTGACCTCCATCTCCTCCTTCCCCCTCCCCGCTCAACTGCCCCATTTGCTGAGACGGCTGAGCAGCCTGGAATCCCCCATGCAGAATTACCCCTGAGGAACCCCGTCGACCTTCATGTGCCCTTCCTTAGATCTCATCCTCCCCCATCCTGAAAACAGTCATTTGAAAATCCCTCAAAGCCTCTGAGGGGAAGAGAAAGGGGCCACACCTCCAGGGATGTCCCAAGAAGGAGGTGGCAACCAATGTTCCCTCAAAGCTATGGAGTCTTGTGAGCAAAAGTTCTACTTTGTGAGCTACTGGCAATAAAGTTGTGAGCGAGAGATTTGGCTCCTGCATAAATTAGTTTGCTCTGGAGCCATCCTTCCTGAGCTGAGAGAAAAATCTCTGAGCTGGAGGATAAAAAACTGAGCTAGCTCACACTAACTCAGCTTAGAGGGAACACTGGTGGCAACCCTCTCTGACAGGGCAGGTCCCAATAGGAACACCCCACCCCCCAGGCAGGGAGAGGGAGCGGGCTCGCTGGCAGACCGGTTTGCAGAAACAGGGAAGGGGGTACAGGAACAGACATTTTCCATGCAGTCCTAAAACGGCTTGAAGCCCCATCAAACAGGAGGCTTGTGTGTTGACCTCCTCCGGATGGCTGCAGGGCAGCAGGCTGGAGTTTGTCTCCATCTCCTCCTTCCCCCTCCCCGCTCAATTGCCCCATTTGCTGAGACGACTGAGCAGCCTGGGATCCCCCATGCAGAATTACTCCTGAGGAGCCCCGTCGACCTTCATTGTAGGCTGAGGGCAGCCTGGCTGAAGTCCGCCCGGGTCTGGGGGTCAGTGTTCCCTCTAAGCTGAGTGAGTGTGAGCTAGCTCACAGTTTTTTAGCCTCCGGCTCACACATTTTTGTCTCAGCTCAGGAAGGATGGGGCTCCAGAGGAAACTAACTGATGCAGTAGCCAAATGGCTCGCTCACAACTTTAGTGCCAGTAGCTCACACGGTAGAATTTTTGCTCCCAAGACTCCACAGCTTAGAGGGAGCATTGGTCTGGGTGCCGCGCCTTGTCAAGAGGACGAGAGGGAGCTTTTCTCATTAATTTGTCTGCAGCACTGAAAAGGTTAAAGAGAGTGAGAAGGGGCTGGAAAAAGGAAAAGGTCTTTTTTTGGGGGGGGGTTCAGATCCACAACAGCTGGCAAAAGCCTTGAGTAAATCTTGCAAAGATTTACTCAAGTAAGTCATGATGTGGGGGGGGAGAGATCTTTTCTATCTTGGAAGAAAGAAAAGCTGCCACCATGTGTATTACTGAGGGATGGGGGAGGCTTGTGTGTTGACCTCCATCTCCTC